TAATCACCAAGTTAGCCCTAATTGGTATAAATGCCGTGAGATTAAGATGAATTTTCCAAAAATTTTCCTAAGTACCGTGAGCATTTTCCTTGTGCTTAAGGATTTGATTTCATCCAATCAAAATCTAGCAATTGTCATGAGGAAAATGAGCTTAGTCATCACACATGATTTGGGAGATTAGCAAGTGGTGAGCTCTTAATAAGCCACATAGTGCCGTCATCATTAACCTCATTTTCGTCCAAGTATATAAGGAGCAATTTGGGGCGAAATTTTCCCATCTTTCCTAAAGCCTTTTGCAGCGTATATATACCCTCTTCATCAGCTCCTAAGTTAAGCAAATCTTCCCAAAATTCCACTTCAAACGCACGGCAATCGCACGGCAAGTGAGGGCATCGCACGGGGACGCGCGAGGAAGGAAGGCCGTACCTGTTTTCCAACTTAGATCGGTTTAGCAGAGAAGGTATCATCTTATTCAATTCATAATCCTAGTAGTAAGTTCAGTTCAGAATAAATTGTTCAGATTTTATTTGAGAAATTCTAAGAAAAACCGTACCTAAGTCCATGTATGTTATCACCGAACAAAGTTCGATTCTCTCCGACAACTTTCGAACCCTGATTACCTAAATGATCAGTTTAGTTTGTTTTAAGTCCAGTATGGTCAGATTGCTGTGTAAAAATGGAGAAAAGCCGATGAAAGGGCCCCAGCCGGCGCCCCCGCGCCTATCGCGCGTAGCTTCGGGTAGCCGCGGGCCGAGGCTTGTTACTTCAGTATTAATCAAGTTCTTCCGTGTGATTAAGCTTTATTTTGCTTCAGTTTAATAATCATGCTGAAGCGTTCGGTAGTTGTCGGATAATATGTAAGAACGGCCGAGGGACGGCACAAAGCCGTCGACGGCGCTCGGGCGTTCGCCGCGGCCTTTGATGTTCGATATGTGTTGGCTGAACTTTCAAGTAATTTTTGACAAGTTTATTTATATTAAGTTCAGTTAAGTTAAAATGGTCGATGTCTTTTTCAGTTCGGTCGAAGAT